ATCCAGGCCAGGATGCTGTTGGCTGCCTTGGCCACCTGGGCGCACTGCTGGCTCATGTTCAGCCGGCGGTCAACCAGCACCCCCAGGTCCTTTTCTACTGGGCACTTTTCCAGCCACTCCTTCCCCAAGCCTGTAGTGCTGTGTGAGGTTGTTGTGACCCAAGCGCAGGACCTGGCGCTTGGACTTGTTAAACTTCATACAGTTGACCTCAGCTCTTTAATCCAGCCTGTCCAGATCCCTCTGCAGACCCCCTCTACCCTCGAGCCGATTGATGCTCCCACTTAATTTTGTGTCATCTGCAGTGTGGTAAGCCTTCCTGAAAGGACTTTCTTCCAGCTTGCCAAACCTCTGGTTTTGTACTTTGCAGAAGACAGGATACAACCATGTATATATGGGAAGTGACCCGGAATTTTGGAGGGCTTCTCTTTAATTTAAGTGGACTTTAAACTGATGCTCTTGAATGTATGGCGGGGCTGTCAAGAGAATTGGTATGTTATGAAAACAGTATGCATACAGTTTCAGACATCAGTTCACACTTCCTAATAACCTGCCTCCTTGCTTACCGAATCCCAAGTGTGGTTGATGCATGTGTGAATTCTGCAGCCGGTGTAGTCAGGAACCTGAGAAACGTGAGTGTAAGAGCTGTTAAATGTCAGCAGCACTGAAAGAAATGTTCCCGTGTGTTTTGACAGTAACCTCTCATCGCTGCAAACCATATCAGAGACAGGTCGTTTGGGAATAATAGTGTTAAGCTGTTCATTCACCTCATCAGATGTCTTGGGTCTTCTGTCCCTATACTTTGTAAAGCAAAAGATGAGGACTATTGCTGAAAGGGTCCAGAGAAGCTGAAGTTAAGAATGAGCAGTTCACAAGTTAGACCAACTTTGTGATACTGTTAAAACCAGCCATCCTTAAGAGGATCTTGTTTCTTTCTCCTCTCCCTCCCCTTCTGCAGAATGGGATTTGGCTTGCTGCTTGTGCTCGGGCTTTCCTTCATGCAGGTTTTGGGAATGCTCACCCTGTTCTGCAGCTGGCAGGGGGGAAGGGATTGTGGATTTTGGAGTCTGCAACCATAAGTGTTTCAAAACTTCATCTATGCACAGCCTCTGAGGCACATTGGGCTGGAGCAGGTGGTAAACGAGGTCCTTGCACTCAACAGTGGGGTATCTTGAGTTGGGGAAGGGAATGCTGTGTTGTTTCTGAAGGCAGACCATTTTCCTGACATTGGAATCATCAAATGGCATTAAAGCGTAGACTGTTATATACAGTCTGACACCCAGGCTCCACATGTCAGAAATCCTGGGGTCACAAGAAATGGCCTTTAGCACTTCAGGGGCTGTGTACCCAACTGACCCGCAGAAGGTTTTGCTGAGAATAATTCTTCCATTTTCATCCAGACGAGGATTTGGAAAAGCCAAAGTCGGACAGCTTGATTTTGAGGTCTTCATCAAGAATAATGTTCTTGCATTTCAGGTCCCTGTGAGTGAAGTTCAAGTCATGGCAATGCTTGATGGCGGAAGCCAACTGCCGAAACTTGATGCGAGCAATGTCCTCTTTCGTAGCTCCTGTGATCCTGATGTAGTTCAGGAGGTCTCCATTTTCCCCCAGCTGCATCACGATGTACACTTTCCCAGCTGATGTCTCAAAAATATTATAGGTTTTGATGATTGATGGATGGTGCAAACGTCTCAAAGCCTCTATTTCTCTGGGCAGAAGTATTTCCAGAAAGTCCTGAGGAGCTTTCTTCTTGTTGATTATCTTGATGGCCAAGTTGCGTTTCAGCTGCTCACAGTACGTGGGTTTCACTTTGCTGTAAGAGCCTTATCCTGGCATGTTGCTCAGGCTATGACCTTCCTTTCCAAGTGTAATGGGTCTGCCTGAGATGCGGCCCTCATGGTGCTGTGCAGTGGTAGCTAGATGACACACCAGTGTTTTGACTTCTGCTGAGCCGGGCTCACACAGCATCACAACTGTCTCCCCAACATTTCCCCAGGAGGCTGGAGGTGGGTAAAACCTTGGGAGGGGATATAGCCAGGACAGCTGACCCAGACTGACCAAAGGGATGTTCCATATCATATGATGTCTGCTCAGCAATATAAGCTGGGGAAAAGAGGAAGAAGGGGGGGACATTGGTTTTACGTTTGTTGTCTGGAGCAACCGTGACGTGTACTGGAGCCCTACTTCCCAGGAAGTGGCTGGACATCACCTGCTGATGGGAGGTAGAGAATAAAATCTTTTGTTTTCTTTTTCTTCCACGCATGGCTTTTGCTTCATTAAACTGTCTTTATCTGACCCCCATGCCTGTTATATTTTCTCTCCCCTGTCCAACTGAGGGGAGTGAGAGTGATAGAGTGGCTTTGGTGGGCACCTGGCATCTGGCCAGGACCAAACCACCACACCAAGCTCCACAGCATCATCCATGGGGGGAGAGCTGGGAGGGAGCTGCTTGAGTTGGCGGTGGTGTGCCATTGCGCTATGATGGCTGCCCAGGTCAATGCTGTGGTGGGCACTGGATGCTGTGATGTCTCAGGCAGCCACCCCTGTGTGGGACGCTTGGAAGGACCTTTTAGTCCTTTTATAAAGCTACTGGATGGTGTCATCCAGGGCAAAACTTAACATCAAGTTGCTGAGAGGCATTAGTCGTGCTCTGCCTTCTTCATAAAATGATCACTCGCAGAGGGGAGCTGCTCCAGAGCTGGCCTAGCCCCCACTGGAGTGGCCGATCTCCGCGCAGAGTGGCTTTTACTGAGGGAAGGAGACGCCAGGGCAGCAGAGAGGTCCGCCTGGAGCTGGCAGCTCTCGTGGGAGATGCAGGCAAGACCTGGGCATTGCCAGAGGAACACCAACCTCTGACACCTACAAAAAGTGGCCTGGGGACCTCTGCGACCAGAGCAGGGCGCGTCAGCCAGAGCATGGCATGGCAGTTGGTGTGGGAAGGGTGCTGAAGCTGCCAGTTTGAGAAACCAAGGGTGCTTCATCCTAAGGCCCCTGTGCACCGAGCAATGTCAAGCAAAGGGGGGCATGGCACATCTTCTGTGCGTGGCGCGGCAGGCTAACCAGTTGGCTGTGCGGACAGGACCAGGTACGCCTGCAACCATAAAATCGTGAGCCTTGTTAGTGGTTGTCACCCTTTTGGAAAGATCTCAGCGCTCTGCTACTGCAAGAGGCGAACTCGGTAAGTTCAGTTGGTGGTAACTGGGTGTACCGCAGCAGCCTGAGCCGTTGGTGCGGGCAGCTATGGTGGCAACCCGGCCAAAACCTGTTGTCTGAAGAAATGTGGCGAGCCAGGCAGAGGTCGCAGGTAAACCTGCAGGTGTCCAGGTGACAGCAGGGAATGCCACAGCCTCTCGGTGGCAGCAGGGGACAGCCATGAGTACGGCCGTGTGCGGTGGGAGCAGGTGGGCGATCTGCTCAGCTGAGTGGCCCAGCTGCAAGGTGAGGCTGAAAGGTTACAAGTGAAATGAAACCCAGCTACAACCCCATCCTCCTTCGAATCTAGTTTAAAGCTCTAGGTATGAGCCCTGCTAATTGTTGCCCTAGAACCCTTTTCCCTCTACAAGATAATCC